AGGGGCCCCGCCGCGGGGAGCCGCGCCTCGCCAGCCCTGACCCCCCTCCGCTCCCAGCTCGTCTCCGTGTCCCGCAGGCACCGTGACAGAAGTCAAAACGGACATCTACGTGACCAGCTTTGGGCCGGTGTCCGACGTGGAGATGGTAAGGGCCCCGTTTACCGCCCCTGCTCTCCTTTCCCTGGATTCATTACGGTGGCATCAGAGTTGACCGTCATTAAAGCAGATTACGAGGCTTAATCTTCCTGACAATCTCTAGGGCCAGCGGAGCAGTTTGGCTGGAGCTGCATACAGCAATTTGCCCAGCAGAGCCCGCAAGGGCAGCCTGTAGCCCAGCTCCAAGGCTGGGTACAGAAGGCAATGCTAGCCTTGGGTGAGGGCACGGATGGGAGGCTAAAGACACCTCTTTAACCTCGTTAAGAAGATTGTAAGCATCTGTGGCCCCACACATAGGTTTGCAGGAAGGCTGCCTGGTAGGACACAACCTAATGAGCAGCTGCAGAGGAGTGGTGCTATTTCTGAGACAGCTGCCCCGTGTCATGCTGGGTGCCCCCAAATTCAGGTAGCTGTGGGCTTGGGTGAACTCCATCAATTACAGCAGCAGCCCCAGGAAGATGTTAAGCCATTGGAGTGAGGATGGCATTGCTGTTCTCATTCTGGAAATTGACTTTGATCGCTATTTTTGCCCTTGTACAGTTCCTCTAATACCTACTCACCTGAGCCTGCAGTCCAGTTTGCAGGCAAGGAACTGTGGGCCCCAAGATGATACAACCAAAAGTTTTTCCACCTCTTCATCAGTCAATCTAAGAGAAGGCATAACCTTGCCTTCTTACACATTTGCCTCTGGCCAAGGTTTAGTTTCATTTCCCAAGCAACTTCTATAAAGAACTCCTTTCTGAAGGCTTGTAAGAATATTACTAAGAATCCTTGAGGAAAATAACTTAGATTAATATTAACTTGACACCAAGTCATACCGTGGTGTGATTCACTCACATCAGTCCTTTCTTTGTGAATATCCAAAGTAAGTTGCAGAAGAGGCACTGAGCATGTCTTTTTGTTCCTGGCAATTAAATGTTGATAGTTTGTTTTTGCACTTTGAAAGGGTACTAAATTAGGCATTTGTATTTACTTAGACCTCAGTCACTTGAATTAAATTATTATCTCTGAGAGGACAATGAGGTTTTTTTCCTTATTCAGACCAAATTATCTATTCACTGATTAATTTGTAACTATTCTTTAAATAATAAAAAAATAGGGTATTTTTTCATAGACTACTTTTTTTTTTTTTTAGTAACTACTTAATGGTAATAGGATTAAGTGTTTAAGCAGTAAATGAAATGCCATTGACGTGTGTGTTAGGTTCTTTCACGGAGTTACTGTGTACACAGCAACTTGGGACTGCTGGCCCCCAAACATAAGTCAACCACCTATTTATTTTCCATAGGAATACACAATGGATGTCTTCTTTCGGCAGACATGGACTGATGAGAGGTTGAAGTTTAGTGGGCCAACTGAAATTTTGAGATTGAACAATTTAATGGTCAGTAAAATTTGGACACCAGACACATTTTTTAGAAATGGAAAAAAATCAATTGCTCATAATATGACAACTCCTAACAAACTCTTCAGAATTATGCAGAATGGAACTATTCTTTACACAATGAGGTAAGAGCCTATTCTTCTGCTTTTGGTTTACCTTTATTTTTGATTCTTTCAGCAGTGTTCCTGCATACCATTTTTTTTCATTGTCAACTACTATAATGTGTTCTAGACTAACCATTAATGCTGATTGTCCTATGCGGTTGGTGAACTTTCCTATGGACGGACATGCTTGTCCATTGAAGTTTGGAAGCTGTAAGTTTTTCTGTATCTTTCAGTTTTTTATAGTAATACATTTGGTCTACATGTATGTGAGAAAATCAGAAGTGAGATCCTAGGACACTACTTAATGACATAGCTGAAATTTTTTTTTTTTTTTTTTATACTAGAATCTTACTTTCTCCTCTGAGACTCAGACTATTCATAAGCATATGGATTTATTCACTGAAGGGTGACTGTTGAATATTTTATTGTTTATTATTCTCACACATCTAGTAGTCAAAGTGGGTCCTTCAACAGCTGTGGTACATTTACTGTATTACTTCTAGTTTTGCAAATACTTAGTTGATCTGTGGTAATCAATTTGGAAACTATGTAGTTGATCTATGGTAACCAATGTATGTGTTTTATAGCAAATTACGAAACAAAAGCTAGTGCCTATCAGGTCTCACCTCAACCATTCTCTTATTGTTGATTTTTTTGCATTTTGTCATTAATGAGGTTAGGAACTTGCTGGATCAGGATGCATGTTTCTATAGGTATTTGAGCCACAAAAAGGATTATGCTACTTATTTTTTCAATTGCTTATAAATTACAGAATTAATAATAGTAATTTTTCCCTCTGTAACTCAGATGCTTATCCAAAAAGTGAAATAATTTATACATGGAAAAAAGGACCCCTGCATTCAGTAGAAGTACCACAGGAGTCTTCCAGCCTCCTCCAGTATGACCTCATAGGACAAACTGTATCTAGTGAAACAATTAAATCTAACACAGGTAAGATGTAGCCGTGTGGGAACTATTGACATTATAAAACACATCTTAAAAATAAATTACAGGTTTTTTTCATATAGAACCAAATTAGTTTAATTATCTTTTGCGATTTTAAAAACTAAAATCCTTGGAAAGACTCTAACCATAGTCTCTTAAAAGATAGGTTTTCAATACAGTCCCTTTAAGCATACAATTTTTCATGCAATTCTTAAGAGTTCCCCCTGCCTCCCCGCCCCGGTAAAAACAATGCATAAAATGAGTATTATTCTCCTCTTTCCGTAAGGTCACTTTACCTTTTTTAATCAGCTTATTTTTATTATGCATTAGGAGGCCTGTAAGTGCTTTCCTGAGAACACAGTATGTTGGGTTTAAGCCAATAATGTTTACTCATATGTTGCCAAAATAATGCTGACATACTTGTCTCTTAACAGGTGAATATATAATCATGACAGTTTATTTCCACTTGCAAAGGAAGATGGGCTACTTCATGATACAGATATATACTCCATGCATTATGACAGTCATTCTTTCTCAGGTGTCTTTCTGGATTAACAAGGAGTCTGTTCCAGCCAGAACAGTTTTTGGTATGCTGCGTCAAGGTCTTTGAACAGCTCAGCATCACATATACCATTCATTCATTACTTTCATTGCTTGTTTGTTTTAGGCGAATATTCACTTCAGCTGCTCTATTTCCATCTTCAAAGGAAAATAGGCTACTATCTCATTCAGACATACATTCCATGCATCATGACTGTAGTCCTGTCTCAAGTTGTATTTTGGATCAACAAAGAATCTGTTCCAGCAAGAACCGTGGCTGGTATTCGTGTTTTGTTCTTTTCTCATTCACTTCATTCACTGTATTGAATCCATTGTATCAAACAGCTGCTGTAATCCAGTGGGGATTGGAAAAGACAGCTAGTAGGTTTCAATGAACAAAAGTAAAAACTAAAATTAAACCAAATAATATTCAGTCTGCCCACGAGGGTCAAAATTCTTTACTCAGAATGTTTGGTTAGCCAGACTTGTTTGTGATGTTTTTCTTCCCCGAATATGTCTTCGTATGCAGGAAGGGACAATTTCAGAGTAAATGTCAACCTCTCAATTTTTTAAAGAGGAATTTTTCTATTGATTTATTCTTTTGTGAAACCAATCTGAGTTAAAGCTTTAAAAAAAAAAACAAAACATGGAATTAATCTTATCTGACATAAGGTACCCCATCTAGCACTGATTCTGAGGTGCTCTCTTCCCATTGTTTACAAAGGTGTCTAAACAACTAGCAAGGACTTTAGATGGATAAAGTCAGGTGAGATGAATCCTGTCCCTAGCACAGATTGGAGTTCTAATGTGAAAGGTGTGTCCATATTGCATGGCTGGGACCTTTTTTCTTTCCAGTGGTTTGAATTAATTCTCCCAAAGCAGAGAGTTTTGTCTCCTTAATTTTTAGTGTGTGGTCTGCTATTAAATTTGACCCCCCCCACACTTCAATATTGATAAGCTCTGAAACTGCACTCATTGTTAAGGGGTAAACTTTCACTGACTGAATTGTGTCTAGAAAAACAATCATAAAAATACTAAGCAAAAATAATAAAGCTTGTCAAAAACTTCATGAATCCACTAGCCATACATACACCTTTTGCAACCCTATCTATTTTCTCTTAACCCAGTACTTCTATACAAAAAAAATCCCTTTGTGAGACTTGTCTTCAGTAACAAAAAGGCAGCTATATGTTCCCTAAGCATAAATGATGCAAGTCTCTTAATTCAAAATGAGTCTATAATTGTAGTTAGCAGGCTTCAGTCAATTGGCATTTCCTACCTGTATGGAATGGTATTCATAAAAGCATTGCAAACTTTTAGGAATGCTAAGTGAATACACCTTCCTCAGGTGCCTCTGAAGGAAGATCAACTTTTGTTCTTGAAGTCCCTATTGGGAGTTGGGATGCAGTTTGGCATCATTAAGCATTTTCAAGTATTATTTTCTGGCAGTTGGGATTTCTTTAAGTGCTTAAAAATATTAAAATATCAGGCAATAGATTTTCAAGGATTTTTATTGCAATTGAAGCATAAAATACATGTAGGAGGTTTGTACGCCAAATATGATGCTACCTGATTTGGCTTTGTATTGAATCTCTGAACTATACAGTTACATCCTCTACATTTTGAGTAAAACATATTTGCTACCTAGCAGGCAGTGGAAGTCAATTCTATATGCTTGAAGTAATGTGCAAATAAGTCTTTAGCTGATTCAGTAATAATTACATAGAGACCCCAAACCCTGGAATAACAACTCTTAGATGTCATACTGAAGAGTAAATACAGAATTAGAAACAGAAAATATTTTAAGAAAATAGTAAAAAAAAGACACCTTTCTCAGTACTGTGGAAAATTAGTCATGTTGGCATTTTAAAAGAATATTTCAATCCTTATTCCATTCTTATTTCTCGCAGGCACAGTCTGAATTTATAGTCCTTACTAATTCAAAATCCCATGGATTCTAAATACCTTCATCTAAGGAAAAGAGGGCAAATTCCTTATGACAAAAAAGACTTTCAAGCCCCAGTAAAAAAGAAAAGGTTTAAAATGGAGAAGTAAGACTCCTTTCTGCATCATATTGCAAATACTTGAATTATAAATTTTCAGTTTTACTTCTAAGTTCCTAAACTATAAATTTGAAAGAAGAGAAATTAATAGTAGAAGAATAACAATAGTGTGCCTAAATCAGTTTCTCAGAACAAATTCATTTAGAAACTCTATTTACCTCCAAAACGGATGCCAGTTATCCTTTGCAGGTGATATTACAATAAATACTCTGAACATTTTGCAAAGATAAATTAATGGTCATAAGCACCTACTCTTTACAGACCTGCAAGTGAAAAATGGGAGGCAGAAATACTTGAAGAGGCACTCTTGTGTTCTTTATAATTGTGTCATTGGAAAGAACAGCAGATTGCTAGTATGAAATTCCTTACTTTATGTGGAGCTATGTATGTAGCTATGCATATACATGTAGATGTATTTATGTGTGAAGTTTTATGAAGCATGGCATTATCAGAAATTACTTAGAATAAGAAACATGGTTATTGGAGGCCTAATTTTAAGTATGCTCTGAATCCATATAGCGATGGCTATTATTTCACATTTTCTTGTGCCTTTATCTAATCCTTTTTATTCCTGGCAAAAAGTTCATCTGTTATTTTGCAGAAAGATAGTAGTCAGCTTCTACCTTCCTAGCAGGTCACCCTGGGAATTTTAAATTAATATCTAGTCATTAAACTTTATTTATAATAAAGTCTTAGATAGGGAAAGGTGTTTGGGTTTTTTTGTTGTTTCATTTTTAATAAGAAAAGATAACATATTTCAGTATTTGCATTATGTAACAGATTCTTCAAAACTTACCAAGAAGTGCTCAAAGTGGAAAGACAAGGGTAAACAATCATCAGTTACACAGTTTACCAACTGTAATTTGGCATTCAGTTTGATGAAGTAGTTTTCCACAGTGCAGAGCATTTCATCAATATTCATTCCACATTGAGAGAAGTCTTATCTATATCTGTAATAGAATAGGAGTCCTATTCCTAAGTTTAAATTC